AGAAAAAATAATTTCATTTCCAAGGAAAACGCAGTGTTAGATGGACCTGTGGCGTGATGAAGCTCGGTGTTGTTGATTGGATATAGCCCAGAGCTGTATATTGCTTCCTACTATAGTGATCCTCCTCTTCGACGTATTAATCAATCGATCAAACGTTTCCTCTTTAACCGCTCACGCGATACATGCAGCCGTAGACGCATACCACACCTATAGGTGCCGGTGATGATTTTATACCGATTTATCGGATATCGAAGTTATAACAGTTAAAAGAACTAATACTAATTGCTACTTCGGTAACTACTCTAGCAAACCATAAAGTTTTTAATGCCTGGATCTGTCATTTAAAAAAAATAAACAACTTCAAAAATACGTCACGACAATCGTGTCTGTTATTGTTTGGGCTGGTGATTTCGGTGATTATTTATTGAAAACATACCGTAAGTAGCGTTTTTTAAGTTTACCCTGAATATAAATATTTATAAACTATACTTTAAGGAGTAATTTCATGGTAAACGTTAGAACCACTCAAACGGAATATTATCATATTTACCCAAGTACACCAAAAATTTCATTAGTGCTTTTTAAGTGCAGGATTTGCGTTATATTACTGCATTTTATTATAGATGTTTTTGTTGTAGTACGGAGGGTATTTATTTAGCAATGCAGAATAATAATTTTTATTTATAAAAACTTGTATTTAAACTGAATCCTTTTCTAATTTGCGAAACCAAATAGCCGCCATTTTGCGGTAGGATGAGCGCATCGCGTGAGCTGTTAAGGAACGTGATTTAAGTCATAGTGAATCAAGCTGAATTATTGCAACTTGGCAACTCCGTAAGTAGAAATTATTAACAAATTAATATATATAAGCATTGACCTTGTTACAAGGCAAAAACATATTCGTCATTAATCTTAACCTTGTTACATTTCTAGCAAAAATTCCAGACAAATATTGGCTGGCGGCTGGATTTCCTTGTAATACCTCGTTAGTGTCGAATGAAACAAAAATGAAAACAATATATCTATTTCTTGTCGAACGGATTTATTTTACAGTTTCATTTCATGATATACACAACAATGAACTAGTAAATAAAAAAATTACAACCTCGATGGTCGAGTGGCTTCGCTCCATCTCTGAGGTCACAGGTTCGATCCCCGGAGGAGTTATGTAAAAAACTAACTTTTCTATATTGTCGTGAAATCGGAAACAACGACTTTTTTCTGATTTCTATAATAGAAGTGCTATGGTTACTTTAGGTTTTATTACTGTCGATTTTATTATGTTCCAGTTGCCATTGCAGCAGCGTTCCCGAACCTTGAGCTGGTCATCAGTCTTGCTGGAGCCATCTTCTTCTCGATTCTCGGTCTTCTCTTTCCAGCCATTATCGACACGGTCTACCGTTGGGACAGAGGACTTGGCAAATTTAACTACGTGTTATGGAAGAACACTTTTATCTGCATAATGTGTTTTATTGTTTTGATATCGGGCACCTATGTTTCTGTAGTAGCCATGATTGAAGATTTTTCCAGTGATGGCCACTATAGTAGTTTGAATGAAACTTTGACATAACTGTTGTTTTTTTTTTTAATAATTTAGAAGAGGTATAAGCTGTGATTTTTAGTAATATATCTATATATATATATAGTATCCAAACAAAGGGCCGGAGTGGCTAATCTTAAAATAAAAAAATTTTTATGAAGGTTTTAAAGATAGATTGATTTTAAATGTAGATAGTTAGATATTCAACGACGAGTCTGTTCAATAACTTGAATTTGGTGGAGCGAACGACTTATTCGCAACACCCGTATTTAGTGGAAGCTTCAAAATCTTCGAATCCGTAGGAAACTGGCCTACTTGAAAAGTTTTCATCGAATATTTTTTGGAAAGTATGCAATCAATTCAATATTCAATATTCAATCTCGTTCCACTCTCACCTTTTGTCCTTCGGCCGATTAAAGTCGAGTCGTTCCATCTTTATGTTGTTGATTTGCCACCCATCCACCCTAACGCTTTGTTTCCTCCTCATGCGCATGGCAAAAGAAAAGAATACACTGCCAACACCTATGTTTCCCAAAAACTACATTCCGGTGCTATTCGAGGCAAGAGTGAAAGTTTGTTTTAAACAAACGCGTACCATCATCGGCCACATCAGGTTTATTCAAGCGTGCTTTCACTTTGCATTTAAAAAAATTGCAATCATTTACACAGTTCGCCACAGGAAGTGCAAATGTTGAGAAGTAATCGTCGCTTAAAGGCCTTTGCGATATTTCACAAGTACCTTTAATATCGCAAATGCGTTGCCCGCCGTGGAATATAGAACTTATTCAATTTGGAACACAGTAGCATAGTGTAATAATGCAAGTAGTGGAACCTACACGGTAAAAACAGATTACTTAGAAGAAGACAAAATTCCTTTTATGAAGACAAATTTATTAAATCCAACAAAACGATCCTCTCCCTATAGACGCTAGACAATAATTACTTGATAATGATAAAAAAAGTCTCAAAAGTGTATTTTAGTTATAAGACAGAAATATTTAATCCAAGAGCAAATTAATTTACTTCAAGTCACAAAGCCACTCCAGATTCAACAAAATATTTATTTGTTATTAGAAATGTCCGATTTTGACTTGAAAAAAAAAGGAATGAAAATTGAGAGGTACTTAATTTATTTTTATTTGACTGAAGACTTATGTTTTCTAATATCAAAAAGGGTAAATTTAGAGGGTTATAGACCCAACAGTACGTCTCACTGCCACTGGCATGAAAGCACACAGTTCAGTGCCAAACCTTAAAGTAGCAGAAACAGGACAGAATCTTCTCAAATACTTGAGTACCATTCAGAGCAGTATAAATGCTACAGCGGCATAAAGCACTAACAATTCAAAATATATTACATTACTTATACTATTGAAGTTAACAAACCGATAGCGCGTTACAGAGTACAACTAATGCCATCTAGCAGTGGCGTGACGGAACTAATTGCATGTTAAAGTTGTGCTTGTTACAAGTGTAGTTTGATTTCATGTTAAAACCAAATTTCTTAAATTATGACTACAAATAATACACTAACTGCCTCCGTGGCCGAACGGTTACCATGCCGGACTGCCACGCAGAGGTCCCAGGTTCGATTCCCGGGCCGGGAGAAATATTTGTATGACCTACATTTATTTCTCTCGTGAGTTTGGTTGTAATTTGTGTTTGTCTATGTGTGTGTCCATGGCACCCGCGACCCAGGGTTTCCCTAGTGCGGGGCTGTGTTGAGTGTGTGCGTTATTAATATTATTATTATTATTATTATTATTACCAACAAACTACAGATACTACTTATTGTTTCTTTGGATAAATGACTGTTTATGATTTTTATGATTACAAGCACAAGTAAAAGTAATCATTACCGCGTGCGCCTTCGGCGACATGTCACAGCAACATTGACTATAAAAACGCAACGAAATGTTGCTTTGAAAATATACTCTAGAATTTAGAATATTAATCTGAATAGCAAACTACTTCGTTTTTGTTTAGGAATATATTTTCTTAAAATACACCCAAGAAATTTTTGAATTCATTTAAGATTATTTAAATTTGATGTAAGAGGTAAAAATTTGTTGATGTAAGTAATGTCCAATTAATTGATTAGAAATGAAATAAAATCTTGAAGTGAACGTATTTGTCTAAAAACTAGAATAAAGTTAAGAGTAAAATTGTATTAGAAAAAGATAAGCAGTATTTTTGTAATGACAATATTTTATTACTTTTAATAAATATTTTTTCAGAATTAGCAAATATTTTGAGAAATTGCTCTTTCGTACTAGTAAACATCCTTTTTTTCTGTGAACTAACCTATTCGAAGTGTTAATTCCTACAGGTTTCTCACGGCGTAGGGTTGCCACATTATTATTTAAGTATTCATCACAGTATTCTCGTACTGTATTGACATAACTTTTGTCATATAAAGTACTTACCTACATATTGATATTTTTATATTAGCAAAGTGGATTGGTACGTCGATTTTGGGAGTATGAACGCTTCAATTCTATAAAATATGGTGCGTGCGACTCCCGCTGTGCAACTCGATACACCACGAGATGTGTGTGAATGTGTGTGAATGTATGCATAAATACAAGACGCGCTGCTGCATTTGTATGGACTTACATTACTAGTTTTTTTACATAATATAGATACTATGACGGTAGTGCTGTTTCGTGCTACAAATAGGTAGAACGGTGGTATCTACACACTTTGTCACAGATAGGGTACCCTACTACTAGTTAATTTATTATATATTGGTCAAGCTGGAATAAGGCAGAATGTTAGTTAATATAGGTGGATATTACTATGTAACTCATAAAAACTTGTAGGTGGGACCATAGCAAAATAAAAGAGATAAGAAATAAAAGTGAATCCACGAGCCGTATACATATGCACACGTTCGTACAATAATGAAAGGCTTGTTGGGACAGCCATTGTTATGCAACGCCTGCGCGTCGCAATATTTTGCGAATATGTACACACATACAAGCCACGTTGCTACTACTTATGGAGTTACCATACTTTTGTTATACTATGCTTATACTTTGTAAGTATTATAAAGAGGAGTATTATATTTTGTATAGTATGACTATGAAACAATGCGTATGGTCTCTATTGACGATATTAGTCGCAAAACACCATTCTTTGTATGCCTACATAAAAGTACAATGAATTAAAGATTTTTAGCGATCTAATTTTCTTTAAGTTAATAACCACGTTTTCCAATTTAAAACTCATGAATTATCCAAGAAGATCTTGTAGGAAGAACACATTCCTTCGCTGCAAGAGGCCTATAATACTAAATCTGATTTATTATTGATTCCATTCTCTAACTAAATAAATACCTCTTAATGAAGGGAGTATATAGTAGTAGATCCATAAAAACATTTCTCTGATGAGGGAAGACGTCAACCCTGATAGCGTTAGGTCGTTGGAACTTTATCCTTTCCTTATCTGTATCCAGCAGTGGGAAGTAATTGGGTCGATTTCGGCCTTTATTTATTTTGTTCGTCATTCTCGTGGAATTGTCGGGCGAGAACGGTGGTGGGCAGTGCCGAGTGCGAGCCAAGCGGCCAGCGTAGTGCTTTGTGAGCTGCTGCTAAACACAATCCTTGTCTTCTATTCCATCCAGTTCTGTAAACCAATGATTGAATGAATGAAACTTGCATGAATGATTATTTTTTTACTTAATACGTTTTCGCATCTTATAGCCAGAGATCGGAATCAGTAGCTAAAGTGTGCCCTTTTTTATGCTTATATAGGACTGTCATAAAATTTCACATACACATACTTTGTTACATGTATTTCGTATTTTTTGTAATGACTTTCAAATATGATAAAAGCACTCGTGACATATGATCACAATTGGTTTTATTATACCAAGGATACAAATTATTGTTTTGTTTTATATTTTTCACGTGAATTACTTTTCTCCGATTCTTCATTTTCTTATAAATACTGATAATTTTGAACTATTTCGTTGAGCTTTTTTGCTTTTTGTCTTTAATCATTCCGTAATTTCATTTTCACTCTGCTCTTTCTGGTCTTTGCTCATAAGATCAGCAAAGGTATCGTAGGCTATAACCTAAAAACGTATAATTCTTCTTTATTGATAATTGTACCTATCTTTGAAATATATAAGTTTAAAAGTTTATTCTGATTTTTAAACGCACATTAATATACGTACTTTAAATTTAGATAGCACTAAAAAGGCTATAAACACAGAGAAACAGACAAAAAACTACGCAGTTTTGGGAATAACTTTACATAGCCAACTTTATTTTACTTTAGACGGTAAAAGCAGTAACAGACTATTGCCGAGATGTGACTGGGATTCAATCTTAAATTAAATTGAAATAAAGGCTTCTCTTTTCGACTCTATATCTTTCTTAGTATAGGCTTTGAAATATGAGTTTTATTAATTTGCTTATTGTGTCCATAATCATGAATTTAGAATTAGCTAGGTTAAATAACAAATGGTTTCTTAAAAGTTAGTTGTCGTAAAAAGTTTCTTAAAATAAATATGTATTCCTCTGTAATTTTTTTTGTAATTAGCGATGATTTGATTTTCATGCTTAAAAGTATGAGTATGCTACCTGCTTAAATATTTATACTGTGAAATATATAAAATAATGGGTCAAAGATAGAGCCTTGGGTTACTACACTTAGAACATAAAATTACAATTTAAAAAGGCTCAATTTATGTAGCTGGCTCAATTTATGTAGATATTTCATAGATCTTACAGGTTGCAGCACGTGCAACTCTACGTATCGTCACTTACTTAATGGTAATTGATATATTATAATAAAGACATAGTAAGACCAATAAGACTGTCAACTTAGACATACCGCTTTATAAATCACGTTTGACCCATTTTGAGCATCAATTTCGAAACAAGTATAGAAATATATCGATACAACAAAATATATTAACATAAAACAACGAAAATTGACTTAGTTGATAATATTGATAAACGCAAAGTTTATGTTTCTCAAGCAAAAAAAAAAACAGATATACCATTCCTTCACCGCGTGGA